TATTTTGTATTATTTTGCTTGGTGGCTGAAAATCATATTATTATAATTTTTTTATATACATATTTTTTTATATAATCTCAATATATGTATATTAAATGTTGTAGTATTATTTTATATTACAAATATTCAATATATATATTTTTTACATATATTATAAATAATAAAAATAGTCAATATAAATATTCTACATATTTTATTAATATAAAATATTAATTTGTATATTATTATTATATTATATTTAAAATATTTAATATATATTTTTACTTTTTTTGTATTTATTAAATATTGATATTAATTCTTAAATTAAGTTATATCACAACAAATCGTTCGCATGTTGACATCTACATATATCTCCTCAATTACCTGCTGAATGCTGTAAAACGAAAATGTCACTTTAATGTGCCACGCCCATTAAATGGTATTTTATGATTGCGTCTGTCTTGCTTCTCGAAACGGGACACTTGCATACTTTCGGGCCAGGCTAATTGTGACAGCAGCCGAGGCGCAGGCACGCGCCAAGTGCAACTGTTTGGGGCACTTGAACCATTTTCCATGTGCTCGAAACTTTTGCAATAAAATTTGTTTCAAATTGCCTTTGAACAGAGCGTTGGTCGCTCGACTGCTGAAGTGTGCTCGAGAGTGGGGAGAGTGGAGAGATATGGATAGAAATTGGGTAATTGGTAACGCAAGCTAGATGTTCTATATTTGCAAAGTTGTCAACGGGATGCGGCTGGGAACGCGGCCAAAGTGCACCCCGGGGGGCATTGGGGCCCGGGTAAATAAATATCAAATATATTGAGAGGGACCGAGCGGTCGCGCAAAAGTTAATTACATTGTGTTAACGGGCCGACTAATTTTGTAATTCTGTTTCTGAATCATTTAACCATGAAATTGGCTGGCCAGCCACGCCCTGAACGCCTAAAACGCCCCAGCCGTCCAAACGGCCAACGCCCCCAGACCTCAGCCAAATGATAGTCCGCAACGCATTAGCCACGCATTTACAGCGCTGGGTGGTGCTGGGTGGTGCCCGGTGGTGCCGGGTGGTGCCAGGACGAGTTTACAGCTCAAATGTGAAAATTAGTCTTTCAACTGTTTAGCAGCTTACAGCCTGAGGCCCCTTCATCACCAACCGACATCCGGCAGGACTCCACCCGGCCCCAGAAGCAACCCCCACCCCCATCCTACCATCGCTTGACAGCTGGCACGAAATTCATATTGAAAGTTTTTGGGAGTCTGGGCTGAACATTTGGAATATTTTGATTATACATATTACATATTATTATTTTTAATTCCTGTGGCTTTTACACATAAATTAATGCAATTATATGTGCCACAGGGGCTGGCCATGTGGGCGTGGGCGTGGCCGCAGCTGTGTGTGCGCGCCTGATTAATTTCCACTGTCTTTTGATGTTAGCAGCTGGCCCCAGCGGCATTGTGGCAAATGGCATTAGCGCGCAAATAAATTTAATTAAATCATTTGCGCCCAGCTCTGTTGTTAATAAATTCGCCGTACTTGTGTATTTGTGTCTCTCTCTGTGGGTGGCCGAGTGGGCGCAATGATAAGCTGGCCGTAAATTTGTATGAATTATTGGAAAGTTTTACAGTTTAAGTTTGCCCACACTAAGATATTGGCAATTGATGAGATCAAAGGATGAGCTGTCTCCACACAGTCTATAGCAAAAGTATGGCCTTACAGAAGTTGTAAGTTCACAAAAACCAAAAGTTAAGCCAAGCGCAAAGAAACTATTTTTCTTCCAAGTCTAAGCAAGCACAAAAACCAAAAGTTTCTAAGCCTTTATTTATTATAAATAATTAAACTGTTTACGCATAACCTTAATAGTTTGCCGAATGTTTTTCAAATATTTTAAATAAATAAAAATATTTGAATGAATAAATGTTGATAAATATTTTGTTGATTTTCGAATATTTGTCCTTCCAGATTTTTCATAATTATCCTTAAAGACGTTGACATTCTTTACGATTTGACACTAAGCTCCAGATGCCAGAGCCAAAGGCTTTTCTGCTGCTTAGCTCCAAGCTGGGCTGGCCCAGCTGGGTTGGCCAAGAAGCGTATCTGGCTGCGATACACAGTGCGTATGCGTAATAAACAAAACAACTGCAGATACAATGCTTGCCATTTCGATTCTGTGTGCGTGTGTCTCTGTGTGTGCATGTTTGTCCCTGTATTTGTCTCTGCTTTATTTGAATTTACTGCCAAGCAGCCAACACACACACATACACAGTTGAGCTTTGCTACGCCACTGCCATACATATACACACATACATAGATACATATATAGTGCGAGTCACTGTCACGCCTCAGCCACTGTCTCATCTGCAGCCACAGGCACGCTTACGCCCCCCACTCCACACGCCCCCACGCCCATTACTGTGGTCCCTGGGCAGACATTGTGCCAATGTTTGGCGTTTGCCTCTGTTGAATAATAAATTGTATTTTGCGGCATTTAAAAGCAATTTTTTAACATTTTTCAATCTCAATGGCGACGATGAAATCCCGACACACGCACACATTCATAACGTAGCGTGCATACAATACCAACCTTAGTGTGTGTGTGTGTGTGTGTGTGTGCGTGTGATTGTGCTTGTTGCGTATAGCCCATGCAGAGATGAAGCCGATTGAGCCGATGGAACTGCTGCGTGTGGAGCCTGACAGTATGTATGTGTGTGTGTGTGTGTGTGTGTGTGTATTGCAGCATACACAACACATAACGAGCCGAGTTGCTGCCATTCCGGCCGCCTTGTGCGCCACAGTTTTGTCTAGCAATTTCGCAGTGAATTGTCCTGGGAGCTCAACCGAGCCAGCCAAGGATGTCAAACGGCAGCAGTAGCAGCAGCAGTAGCAGGAGCAGCAGCAGCACTTGCAACATTTTTGGAAATGGAGCTGGCGGCGCTACATGACTCTCTGCATTTGGTTAAGCTTGGAGTGAAGACAGCAACGATTCGGCAGCAAAACAAATTGCAGCATTTAAGACCTCTGTCCGTTTGTCTCTCTCTCTCTGTTCCCATCTTCCACTGTCTCGCACTCCCCCTCTTCCCGCTCGCTTTATTTATCATTTGTAGCTGTGCGTGTGCAACGCCAGAAAATTGCTGAAAATTTTGTGGGTGGCTCGGCAGCTTTGCATAAAGTTTGATTAAGTGTGTAATCTAGGCTCCAGCCGCACCACCCACACACAGCTACATCGGCGGTGCATGTTCGCTGTGTACTTAGCTCCAGCGACTGCTTGAGTCTAGCCACAGCATCAGCAATGCGACCGAATTGCAATTTATGTAATATTCAGGCTTTACAATTTACAATTATCCATTCGATGCTAAGCAACTTTGTTAAACTGTTTACTCGGAGCCTAATTGGGGTTAAGCCGAGATCGATCGATTGCTGAGCTATGGCTGCAAGCTAAACCGAAAATGCTCCCCATTGACTGGAGTAAATTTTGATTTATTTCGATGGTAATGCTCGTACATTGGTATTGGTATCTAGTTTGGATTCGACCTCATTATTTTATGGTTGATTTGTAATACATTTAAATGCGAATGCTGGCATATATTAGAAGAGAAATAGAATTGAATAAGAATTAAGTTGCAATTGAGATCAGCTTTATGAACTTTATTAATATAATGTTTAAGCATGAGCATGCTAATCATGGCTATCTTCTGATGCCGTCAAGTGCGGGAGACTAGAAAGGGGAGGAATTTGTAGAAATTTGTATACGTCGTGTAGAGAGACATAAGTAAACTCCTTTGGTACTATGCTCTAATTACACATCGTGTGATTGGTAACCACGGCAATAGACAGAGGCTGTTATATAAGCAGATATTAGTAACTTGATGAAATAAAATGCGTGTATTTGTGAGTTCAGTTCCTTAAGGGTTTTATGAATAACCTTTTTTTTTTTAGTATTATATACAGTGCTTATCATAATTTATAACACTTAAACGAATCACCTGAAAATATTTCATATTTCTTTAAAATCTTAAAAAATGAGTAGTTTAATATATAAATTATGAATGGCAAAAAACTTTTTCAATTAAAATTAACGATTTAATAACAATTTCTTAAAAATAAGTAAAAAACAAAGAAAAACTATTCCCATTTTTACATATATAATGTATGTAATAATAAATAAAAATAAATAAAAAAATATTTCTTCATATTATTTATTTATTTATTTATTGTGACAAAGAATTAATTCCAAATAATTAGTTAGAAACTTAATTTGATATAAATTAAAGGAGAATGCGACGAAACAAAATTTGACACCTATTTAATACTAAAACAAGAGTTAAATATTTTATTTTAGACTGAAGTACCTTTGTCCATTGTTTGATTATTTTCATTGATTTTAAATCAAATTCGTAGCTTTCTGGCTCTCACTAGATTTTGTAGCTCTTTCATCTGGTTATTTGAGCAACTCTGAGCATTTGCCATCTACCTTATGATACTCAGAGCGAAAATATAAATTCTCAATAAGTAGTTTTAACTCATATGCCGTAGCTCAACACAAGCCAGTGCAATCCAAATATTTGTGTAACATAAGGAACTGCAGCAAAATAAGCTATGCACTCTAAGAGTATCATTAATAAATTTCACTCAAAGCTCTTACGCCAGGCATATAAATATTTCCACTATCCACATGCAATTAATAACAGTTTCATCACATACTTGAAATCATTTCTTAATTGCTTTTAGCTAAAATAAAACTTTATCAAGCCTAGCTCACGAAATTCGGACTACAATTGAATCAGACTGTTTGACTGAGCCTTGTCGTGTCGCTTGAGAAATCTATTTAGAATGTTAAAACGCGCTTTGCAGATGCAGTTGCCGGCTGGAAAATAGTCAAATTGTCGCCTGAGTAACCCTTCTCATGTATTTGCCAAGTGGCGGAGTGGTGGCAGAGGGGCGGCGAGGCGGGGCGAATGCCGTTGGGGCAATGGTAAAACTTTTGTAATGAGAAAAGTTAGAAAAGAAAGAAACCGTCGACAGATTTGAGTTCCATCATAAAGGGCGGGGCATGTTAATTCCGACTAAGAAATTCAGAGCAGGCATTGCTTTGTAGCACATACAACAAGTTCAACAGAAAAGTAACGACAGAAGTTTAAATGGATCAGCGTTTACAGCGTCGTCGTCGGGCACCAAGAAAGAAACGAAAGACCGGGTAGGTAATGCCAGTCCAAGCAACTAACTATGCTGAACACTGTGCTCCCAGGCTAGCCAAGCTACTGCCAGATCTGTCGCCCAATTTACGCTGGACTGCCAAGTACACGCACCTGGTGTGGAATCAGTTGATGCTCCTGCTGCTGCCGCTGCTGCCGCTGCTGAGCTTCGTCAAGGAGTCGTTGCTTATGATCAAGCGCTGCACGAAACCGGATCGCCAGGAGTTCCAGCGCTCCGTGCTGGCCATCACAATCGGCTTCCTCATAATGGGCTTCCTCGGCTTCATTATCAAACTGCTGCACATACCAATCACTAATATTATTATGGGCTAACCTGGGGGTCGGCAGCAGCGTTGTTGTTGCTGCTGTAGATATAAAAATAAAGTTTCAATTCAATTGGCAGCAGACAAAGACTTCTTCGACTTGGCCTGCTGGCGCGTGGCCAACCGGGCTACGCTAGGAATAGCCAGGGCAGGCAGCTCCGTGCCAAAGTCTCACCTCACCGCGCCTCGCCTCGCCACGCCTCGCATGCCAACTGTTTGGCTGTCATGGCAAAGCCAAGCTACAACAAGCTGCTATTGTTGTCGCTGACCCCCGACACCGACTCCGACCTCGACAAAGACTCCTTTCCTGATCCCGGTTCAGAGCGTGTTATTTAACTCTCCCTCTCTCTCTCTCTCAGTCTCTCTCTCTCAGCCCATGGCAAGTGTTGACAAGAAAATTTCGCCGCGCACTTTTGAGGAAAACAGTTGCCTTTGCCAAACCAGAAAACTGTCGGATGTGTGTAAATGTAATCAAATCAGCAGCTCGCCAAGCTGCACACTTGAGAGGCTTGCGAGGCTGAGGCGATATGGCTATATTTCATATACCCAGTAGAGTAGGGGGCAATGCCAGGTTCTTTAAGTGGCCGTAATTTCAAAATATATAATATTTTTATATACATATATATTTACTGTTTATCACAATATACCTCTATTAAATTCATATAAAAACATTTTTCCTATTTTGCAAATCAATAAATTCAATTTATTTGTATTTTCACATTTCACATTTTCCCATACAAATTATGAATTATAATTGTCGGCTCACTGAGCTCAACTGAGTTTTTATTTGTAATTTTTAAACTCAAATCGAGTAAAAATATTTCGTTGTGTGTTTGGCTATGTGAAAGCTAATTAAATTAGTATTTAGCTAAGGGATATTAGCGTAGCATGCGTTACACATTTTAAAATTATAAATGATTTCACCTCTTATTCGATTAATTTAAAAAAAACCAATTCAAATTAAATGAAACACAAATATTTATATGCATTTATTTTTGTAACATTTTATTTTATATATATACTAGTTATATATATATTTTTGTGTGGGCTGGCTTATCTGTCCACAGGCAGGAGCAGCTGGTGGCCTCGGTCTTTGATGCCTCCACATCCTTTAGCCAGTTGCATGCGCATTGTCGCATGTGTCTCCATTTGCTGCTGTTATGTTTTATTGATGAGTCTCTCAAACCAAAATTGATGATGCCTTGGATGCGACATCATCGTTCTTCGTGCCCTCCCCTTCGCTCCTGCCTCTGCCCCCCATCCGCGCCGTCCACGAAATCGATGCGCTGCCAGTCAACAAAGTTAGTTTGTTTCAGTTGGCGTTGTTGTTTTTGTTGCAGCTGTTGCTGTTGTTGCTGTTGCAACTATTGCCGCTGGCAAATGGCGCAAATTTATTCAAAACTTTTGCTGTTGCAGCCACAGTTGCACAGACGCCTTATGCTTTAAATCACTTTATGCAACAGGCGACAAAGCAGCTCAAAATATCAACTTGGTGAACGGCGAACAGCGAGCGTGTTGTGCCACAGAAAAGCACCTGAGCTGCTTGAAATACACACACACACACACCAACACGCACGTCCATATGCGATGCACTAAAAAGTAGCTCCCACCTTTCGAGGTTATGAAGTCACTTAAGCAAAGGGAAAACGTGCTTGCCCCACGGGCGTAGGTTAAAGGATAAGATAAAATACAAAAAAAAAAAAAAAAAAAGAAAATAGAAGAAATGTGGTAACCTAGCAACAGAATAACTGTATAAAAGTAGTCAAAGGAAAAGTCTAAAAGTCAGCCCCACACGGCGACACGGCTTGCCCACCTGCTCGGCCTGGGCAATTGAGTTACTTATCTTACACTTTTCTAAGCCTCACACAACACGGCGCAGAGGCGGCTGAGTGCCCCGGTTTGGGTATGCCTGAAATTTATTGTGCCCTACCACATTATATTACTGTGAGTGCCTGAAAAGCTTCAGGGAGTCATTTGAGAATATTTCTAAATATAAATGAGTTTGCTAAGCATAAGCATAATAGAATTTATGTAAGATAAATTTTACTTATGTAAGATAAATTTCTCTTATTCGATGTATAAAATAAAGGATTGCTGTTGTTGTGGATTTTTTTTTTTTTTTTTTTACCTCTATTACATAAAAATTGTGTTTTAAAATATATTGAACAGATAATAAAAAAAAAATTATATACACATATACACATTATTTAAAATAATTTATTAAAACATATTTACCTATATTTTATAATTTATATTAGGTACATTTAAGCATATTTGCTTAGATTTATATACAAAGCTTGTGTGTGCTCCTATACATTAAACAATATATATTTCTTATTTATACAATTATTTATTTTATGCTTTGAATTACTATTTAATAAATTAAATAATTTGCTTTCTATAATTTATTATACATTAATTTATGAAATTTATTTTATTATATTAAATATTTATTTGGGTTTTTATTTTATTATTATTATTTTTTTTATCCTTTTTGTTAAATACAAATTTATTTATGAATATTAATTTGATAAATTAGACCCTTAAATAAATTTTTAAGAAATATATTTTTAATTAATTAATTTATTTCATTTTATTTTTTAAATAGATTTTCAAATAATTCCTCATTTAATCATCATGCATTAAATTAATTGTTATTAATAATTTTTTGAGTTATTTTATTTACTTTTTATGATTCAGCTCATATACAATATAATTCGTGTTTATTTCGAAGTTATATTCTAGTAAATTCTCTAGAAATATAATCTGGAACATCAATTAGATATTTGATTTGTGTTTCAATTACATTTTCATTCGAATTCCTATTTAAATTGTTCTATTGAATCAAGAATGCCTTTGGTACATTTTTTTGTCACTTGATTTCTTGAAGAGCATGGCAAGTTCGTTGAGTCAAGAATGCCTCTTGATTTCGGATATTTGAGTTCTTCTTTGGCTGCGTTTTAATTAAAAGTGAAGTGCGGCTATTAATTTGCAACTACAAATTACACTCAATAAAACATGGCTAGTGCACTGATTTTTCGGCACACACACACACACATACACACAACACACACTCAAAATTTGCCAGCCACATGGAAGAGTGTGTGTTCCTTTGTGTGCGAGTGTGTGTGTGTGTGCCTTGCTGGCAATCAATTTGCACTTTGACTACAATTACTGATTTTCGACACTTCAAAGGATTTTATAAATTGCCATTTGTGCACCCCTTCAACCAAAAAAGGAAAAAAAAAAGGAAAAAGAAAGAAAAGGGAGCTCCAACCTAGCTCCATTCAAAACTACGCCCATTGCTGCTGCTACTCCTGCTACTGCCGCTGCTGCTGCTCCGACTTTGGCAATTTGTTTTGGCCATTTACTTTGCCAGCTTTCACACATGTGTTTCAGCTCTTGTTGCCATTGCCTTTCTTCTCCCTCGCTCTCGCTCTCTCACTCTCTTTTTTTGTTTTTTTGTTGATTGCGCCTGCCGAGTACAACTTTAATTAAGTCAGTGTGCGAGTCCTCTGGCAAGTTAAAAGTGTGTTCGCAGCGGGGCGTGGCACATAAATTGGCTGCACATTTAGCAGGCTTCTTTTTTTCGTTTTTTTTGTTAGGGCACCAATAGATCATAGTTCATAGCACACAGATTATCCATGACTTTCTTAGCTCCCATAGTGCTTAGTTCTTGCAAATGATGGATTTCCAATAAGCAAAGTTTACCAATATTCGAAATTCAGTCTATATAAATACGAGAAAGTTGGAATATGGCCAGTTATTTGGCTACCAACTGGAAGTCTATCTGCCAGTAGGCGCACAACATTCGCCAATTCATAATGAATTGAAATTTATTAAGTATGCCGTCAGAGGTTCGATTCAGCATCCACCAATCTTGCGATTTAAGGCAATGAAACAGAATCCGTAAACAGCAGCTGTCCATATCTCGCATCTAACTGAATTTGCCTTTTGACCGTGGCTGGCCGAATCGGGTGGTATTGGCACGCCCGCATATTTAATAAAAAACCAATAAACGTTAAAAGCCTTTGAGTGGGCGATGGCCATAAGCTACCTGCCGGCCGAGTGGGCCGTTGTCGCTGGCCAACTGAACGCCCGATTAAATGCATTTAAATGTGTTTTCATCATAATTATGCATATGCAAACATGACTCGACCAATTCGGCCGAGCCTGGGGCCGGGCCCCTTTGCCTGCAGCTGGCAGACGGCAGCCGGCAGTCAGGGCCGCGCTGCTGGTGGTTTTCCGGGAGCTTAAGTGCTTTAATGGCTTATAATTATGTTGCAAGCAATTATTGTCAATGGCCGCCACGGCGAATGCCAGCGCACCAACACAAATGCAACGAAATATTATTTAATTAATAAGTAAAAAAAGCAAATGGATAAATCCACATCCCGTTTGATGTGTGTACGCGAAGAGAAAAACAAATTTGGCAACAGCAGCAGTAGCAGCATCGGTAGCAGCAGCAGCTGCTGCTGCGCTGTTTTGCTTTTGAACATAAAATTCAATCGCTAAATTATGCAAATATGCCGCAACTGCGACAATCTGTGATGGCGACCCAATATGCACAACGTTACGTATACGCAACGCGGCCGTTACTGAGGCCGAGGCCATGGCCCAGTCCTTTGCACACACAGTGAGATAGAGTGAGAGAGAGAGAGACAGAGAAACACGCATGAGCATGTGTGAAGAGTTTGTGCTCGAGTGTGTGCAAAGAGGTCGACGTGGCGCGACGTTGAGTTCATCGATGATGATTTTACTGCAATTCCGTTGCCTAGTTTTTGGGGCAGCAAAAACAGAAACCGAAGAAGAAGAAGACGAAAAAAAAGAGAAAATAAAACGTCGACAACTGTCAGAGGCCAAACGTGGACTACGCTGGCGACCTCTCTTCTTCTTCCCTTTCATGCCGGCGGCGGCAGCGTCTTTGCCGCTTTTTGCGGTTCTATTTTTGTTTTTTGCTTTTTTTTTTTTTTGGTTTGTGTGTGTGCCTTGCCACCTTTGCGTGTCGCTTAGTTGCATGGCAATGGATCGGCAACCGGATCAGGTTTGCGGAATGGTTTGCAATTTTATTTCGTCGACGTGACAAACGCAATCAGCGTCAGTCGCATGTGTAAAAATGTGTTCGATTTGATGCGTGTGTGTGTGTGTGTGTGCGAGTGGATGTGTGAGTGGCTGTGTGTGTTTGCTATTTGATGGCATTCAAGAGCAGCAAGACAACTGGAGTCGGCGAACTGAAAACATTGGCAAGAGGAATTTGTATGCCAATATCTATGCTAAAATGTTGAAAGCGAGATTTTCAAAAAGTGTTGCAAAAATCTCTTCTTATTCAAGGCTTCACTTTTTGCAAAGGACGATGGGAATGAAAAGAAAAACATATGAATAAATATATAAAATATTATATATTTAGATAATATATAAAAAATTTAAAATATATTATAAAATATTTAAAGGAAGAAAAAAAAAAAAAACAAATATAACATATATAGTATAATTTTATTTTATTAAGGCCAGTAATTTTATGTATTTATTCTAATAATATTTTCTGATAATTAAAATGCAGAAAATATTTGTATTCAATTTTCTTTTTAATATAAAAAATTCATTAAATTTATGTTTTAATTATATCATCAGTGCAAATTAACTCAGAATATATATTTTTGAATAAAGTTCTGGATGTAAAATATGCCTAAATCGCATTAAATGTAATTAAATCCATAAATTTGAACAGCTATAAATATTTTAGAAAATTAGCTTACATAAAATAAAGTTAAGTTTTAAACAGCCATATTAATTATAAATAATATAGTTGTTATATATTATATATATATCATTATTTTTTATAGTACTATAAACCCTAGAACTATATTTTTAAAAATATTTTCACATTGCTTGTATAATTCAGCTAGATTAATTTGATATGCTAGATGAAATTTCATATGCATATAACCAGTCGAATTATAAAATTTCCTATTCCCTAAAAATATATAAATGTTCATTGCAAGTACTTAAAAAAAGGAAGGAAATAAACATCATGGCAAATATTTTGCATATTTTTATAGTACCACAAAGAATATAAAATGAATTTTTAAGTATTATTAAACTGCAATCAAAAACGCAATATATTGAGTAATAATAATACATAGAAATTAATATATATGCATATATAGCATTTTGAATGGAAATCATTTTGAATTTCGTTAAAAACAAATTCATTTTTGCTACGCAACAGTTAAGTGTGGATATATTTCTATTCACAAAGAAGTGTATAAAGAAAAAAAAAAAAAAAAAAAAACTAGAGTATTCACACATTTCTATGCAGTGTGCAAAGTACTTCACAATATTTCTGCACTTGGAACACTGAATATTTGAATGCAACCTGAGGGTGTGTATGTGTGTGTGTGTGCTTGATAGTGCATGTGTGTAAGAATATGGCATTGAATTATCTGCTGTTTGGCATGAAATGTTTGCCAATTGGCATTGAGAGGGCAAGTGCAGAATGTAAATTCAATTGCTGGCCCAAAATATTTATTAAATTGTCGACTGCAAATTATGTATGCAATTTAAATGAAATTATTCATGTGAAAAGATTTTTCAAATATTTATGGCCAGTGCCATCATGCTTTCGGTCGAGTTTCGTAATTTTTGTTTGCCAGCTCAAAAACAAAAAATAAATAAAGAATACAAAAATTTGTAGGCTTAATTAAATCTATGCACTTGCTCGACTATTATTTCTCATATTCCAAATTAGATTCTGTGACAATTTTACGCGTCAATTTTCTTGTTGGGTCTAACGCCTTCTGAGTGGTTTAAATGTTTTTTTTGTTCTGTTTTGTTTTTATGTTTCTATGTAGTAGTACTTTGGCTTTCGGGATTTTTCATAAATGCTGCATGAACCGAACTTCCTGTTTCCGGTGGGCGCACTTTCCCTTCGTGACGCCGCTGCCGCTGGTGAGAACAAACGGAAATAAAGATATTTGGGTGGCCAAACTCAAAGTGGAACTTTGATGTTTTGCCAGTGGCAGAGGCGGAAGAGGATGAACTTGAGCTTTGAGCGCTCGAGCCAACAAATGTCAATTTCATTCCAAGAACACAACAAAGGGAGGGAGAACAATGCAAAGAGCCAAATACACATACATATATACTATTTTACTAGCTTTATAGTGATTTTAATTAAATAATATTTGAAATTTGAGAATTCTTGTCATTTGTTAATTGGAATTTCGGAATTTTTACCATTAATTAGTTTAAATTTTTTCAATTGAACTATTCAGGTATGCCAGCTGGAATTAAATTGAAATTGGAACTAAACAATTTATTGACCTGGCTTCCTATTATTCGCTGAACTATTCATATTGCATATAAAGCAAATAAAATCCAAGCGGCAGCTGAACAAAGGGCACTTTGTCATGTGGCTTTCAATTGACATTCGATTAGCCGCTAGATTTTTTATTATATTTGTATGAGCCAGGCAGAGCAGATCGAGCGTCTGTCGACATTATGCAAATGTTGGCACAAACATGTATGGATAGTGTAGTCGTGGGTTAACACCTGGTTGCCTGCCGGTCTCGTTGTCTGGCTGCCTGGCTGCAGCTGCTGCATCTGCCTTTGCTGTTGCCGTTGTCGTTGCCATTGGTACTCAATGTATTTTCCGTTTGGCAGATTCAATTACCCGCGCTTCCATTAACTGTCACCTCAGCACTGCAATTTTTCACACAACTTAAATATTTATAGGGTTTATTAATGCGCATGTGGGTAGATGCAGCCAAAAAAGAAAACAATTATAATTATTTATTATGGCAAGCAGTGAGACGCCTTTTGAAACTGCAAGTGCTGTGTGCGAGTGTGTGTGTCTGTGTGTGGGTCTGCGTGTGTGTAACATATGCACACTCATACACACAGCAGTTGCAAACGAAAGCGAAACGAAACTGTCGCGGGAATAGCAATAAATCATTTATGCAGCAGCCTTGCACTTACACACTCCTTCTCTCTCTCTCCCTCTCTCTCTCACACACACACACAGAGATACGCACATGTGTACAAAATGGCATAAATCAACTTACACACCCACACCCATGCACTGGCACACACAGAGACGCACACCAGCAGGGACGTGCCCGCAGTCATATGCAGAACTTGCGCGAGTTTCCCAAAGAAAATGCAGCAGAAAAATTGCAAACTTACGCGCTTCGCTTCGTCGCCTCGTCGACTGGTCGCCCCGTCATCTCCAGCCAGTGCTGTCTATCCTCGCTACTCTTTACTCGTGGCGCCACTTACCTTTCCTTTTGAGTGCATGTCAGTGCCTCATGTGTCTCTTGATAAGCACACTCGAAGCTGCAGCATCAGCAACAGCAACAGCAACAGCAGCAGCAGCAGCCGAGCTGCAACTGTGGCATAAGCAAAGGCGCTTGTTCAATTCGGCTGCGAGGACACTGCTCAAAAAGACTTTTTCTTCGGCTCCCTTTTTTGTGTAGTATTTTTCCTTTTTTTTTTTTTTTTTTTCAAGAGATGCAAAGTACTTTATTGACAGTTGCTGAAGTGTGTTGAGCAGTGCATGTTTTTCTGGCTGAATTTAATTTCTCGTTTGTGAAGCAAACTGTTAGCCGTAATTCAATGCAATGTTGGAGTTGCATGCAAAATATAATTATATTTATTCTAAGATATGATTATATAAGATAGTATTTAACTATTTTGTAAAGAAATTATTTTGGGTAGATAATTATAATATTTAATATAGCAAAAAAAAAAAAAAAAAAAAAACGATTTTTAAACTAAATATTAATTCAGAAAATATGTTAAATTGTTGTTGTCAAATAACTTTCCTATTTATGTAAAGCAGTTCATTAAATATATATATTAAAAATATATTAAATAAACGTGTTTTGAAATTGTATATGTATATTAAAAATTTATGGAATGTATATATTTAAAGCTAGTAATGATTTTAATAATTTTGAAATATGAAAATTAAATTATACCCGAATTTTTCATTTTAATCGTTTCAGGTCACATCAAATCATATAAAGAGGATTATTAATTATATTTAATTAGAATTTTGTTTGTATTGCGTTTTAGTTTCTTTGATATTAAAGATGAATAAAATTGTATTTAATATTTCTACAAATAAATAAGTAAATAAAAATAGTAATGAGCGTATCATGTGGTAGGAAATGCATTGAATTTGTTATACTAATTGTTATATAAAGCAAATGATTTGCATTATGTGTAATTTATTGTTTGTCTAAAATTATATAGATCTAGCTCTGTAAATAAATACCATTATTAGGTTTTAGAGATTCGTAAAAATTATGAATAGAAATAAATAAATATATTTAGAGAGAGATAGATAACAAAAAGAGATTTAATTGACTTGTTTACTAATGAAGTTGGAGCGTTGTGTAACTCTCATTTGAAATCAAGCTCATTAGGTCGAATAAAAGAAGTTGCAATCATAGAGAACTGGGCAGCAGAGCAAGCCTATATATAAGCAAGCAAAGAGTTTCCATCAGCAGTTGAGCGTTGAGGCTGAATTCAAATTTAAAGGAAATATTTACACATCGAAAATGTTGTCTTACATTAAAATTATAATAACTCTAACATTTCTGATGGCTTTTGGGCATGTAAGTAATATGAAAGCCCTAAATGAATGTCTGTTTGAAAATTGTCCCTTTAGAGTTTGCTTGTCCCCATGGAAGTGGAAGATAAATGCCTGACTGAAAATAACACAACTAGAATGGATTTATATGCCAAGATCGATCAGGCAAAAACTGAAGGACATTTCGAAAATATTGAAATGAAATACATGTGCTATGTGCACTGTGCGGCAGCCGAGTTGGAGATTCTTGATGCCAATGAGCAATTGGACATCGAGGTGTTCAAGACGATGGAGCACTTGATGGAGGAGAATGCTGCAGTTATAGAGGAATGCCATCGAGTGATTAGCCTGGTCGAAGACAAGTGTGCTTATGCATTTCAAATGTTGGTGTGTTACATCAAAAGCTATCGTAGAGTGGATTATATTAGTATTGCGCCGGGCAAGCAATAAATTGCTGAGACTCGAAAGAAAACAAACTATTGCAATCGATTTTTATAAATAAAATGATTTTGTTTTATTTAATTTATTTGTTTCTTTGTTTTAACAATGTAATTTTTGCACATTCTAAAGATAATAAATTTAATTGCGGATATTTAATAAAAAATACTGTCAAATGCAATAAATTAATAAGCCGGCCACATTTGGCTGATTTGCATAATTAAATGAAATTGGCCTGCGTACCAGGGGGCGTATGAATCAAATTAATTGCATTGGCGTGCCGATTTAATTGATTTGCGATAACTATATACACACATAGTAATCAGCACAGTTAGAATTAACATGCCACATACATATATACATACATACATGAATTTGTATATAGATATATATCGTTGTATTTGTGTCATAAAATAATAATAGATGATTGCTGATAACAGCCGAAGGCCTTTTCCGTACAAATGTATTACGTTCTTTGGCCTGTTGTTGCTGTTGTTGTTGCTACAGTTGCTGTTGCTGTTGCTGTTGCAGTTGTTGTTTGCCGTGTGTGCCAGGAAAAAACATTTTGCTTCTCACAATGCAATTCCGTTACAGTTTTACGCTGTTTTTCTTTATGCCAGCAGCGCATGCAGCGGAAGTTGTCACGATGCATTGTTGCTGCTGTTGTTGTTGTTATGTGAAAAGAAAAGGCGCACAGCTGCAGCAGCAGCAGCAGCAGCAGCAGCAGCAACACCCACACACTTGACTGGCTCCGGTTTTGCCTCTGGCTGCTATTGTTAGCCCGGCTTTCGATTGTCATTTCAACTTTACGCGCTTTGCATACATGTGTGTGCGTGTGTGTGTGTGTGTGTGTGTGTGTGTGTGTGTGTGTGTGTGCGTGTTTACGTGTATGGGGCGTGCCACATTAGCGGGAAAAAGAAAAATATGGTCATGTATTGTCAACACGCCCGCGCCCACGCGTCGTATGAGTACCGCGGCCGCGTCTGCCACGTTTCTCGCGCCATGTCAACATGCAAAACAACAGCGAGGCGGAAGCACATTGTGAACGCTACACGACTTCTCTATGCAGCGCCACCCCCGCACCGCCCCGCACCGCCCCGCACTGCCCTGCCCACCCCCTCCAACAACATGATGAGGTGTGGCCGATGCCTGTTTCTTTGGTCGTCGCAGCTCGCTGCAGCTGGTTACCGGAATGGAGCAATTATTATTTCGTAAATCGACGGAAGTTGTACAAGAACACAGCAGCAAAAACTCTGCAGCCTGAAGCAATCAAACAGTAACAAGATGATAATTGGAGCACGCCAGCGGAATATCAAATACGTTTATATGAATATCTTTATTTGCAGCTACCGCAGAGGCAAAGATTTAATCAGCTTCTGTTGATTTTAAGACTCCAGACTCTCTAACAAGCACATTGTCATACTGAAGGCGTATTCACAGAAGTCTTCGCCTCCATCGTGGATTTTCTTGCACTCGACGAACACCTCGCGATCCTTCGGTGTGAGCTCTTCGTGTTCGTTGACCAACTCAATGTCCACATGTCCATTCGAGTCGAGAATGTGCATTTCCGTGGCCATGCAGTGCAAGTAGCACTTGTATTTCTTATCAATACTATCCATATCTATATTCGAGTTGTTTTGGCTCAGCAATGTCTCATACTCAGCTTTCTCGATATCGTTGTCGGTCAAACACTTTGTTACCATCTCATCCATTTCATCTTCAGGAAAACTCTTAGTGGTCAAAAATTATTAAATATTAAAAAATATATATTAATGAAAAATCGATTTCACCTGCACACAAACGAGTAAAAGGGCAAACGAAATTGCAGCAAATGTATCCTTCGTGCGATCAAACATTGTATTTAGTTTTATATTTTATTTCGACACTGAAACTGAGTAAACTGGAATCACACGAATTTTGCCGTAAGTTTTATAGCAGCTCATTAAATTTATTTTAAATGGGTGATATATTCAAAAAGTTTTCTTATCCTGCTTGCAATCAACACGCTCTGGTTTTAGTAATTTGTTTATAATTATATCTAGCGCATCTGAGCTTTATTTCTGTTGATTCATGAATTTGTCGTGATCGCGTGTAACTTTCCAACTATCAGATAAAACTGAAACAATATTATTTAATTTAATTTAGAATCAACCGCAACCAATTTCAAGCATCATTCAAATTGAGACTCCATAGACGTGCGGACAAACCTTTAAGTCCATTTTTGACTCGCAGAACAGAATTTATATTAAATTGACCTCACGGCTTTGTATCATATATTCTATTTCTGCTAGCCAGGATTCTGCTGAATGAAAATAATTTTTATGTGAGAATACAAATTTGTTAGAATCTATGGTTTTTGCATTGAAAAAAAAAGGTAAAGTAAAGAATATAAATTTTGGAATAATTTTTTGAAATTAATTTTTATGTACACATAAATTTTTAAACAATTAAAAATTTTACAAATTCTATTTATATTTGCTAGTGTTTATAATTACATATAAATCTATAAGCTAAAATAAATATATTTTTTATATATATAAAAAATTGATATTTTTTTATCTATTTTTAACCACCGCTCATTATAAAAATAATCAACTACGCAAGGCCACATACTGAACGCTTAATCGGAAGATTCTCCATCTCCATCGTGCACTTTTTGCGATAAATGTGGAGCTTTGCTTCTCAAATTGATTCATCAATGCTTTATCAACATATCCACCAGAGTCTAGGAAGTCAACAATAGCATTTCTGATCGATTTTTTCCTCATCGATCTCTGATCTGTTTTGGTTCAAAAATTTCTCATATTCAACTCTCTCGATGTATTCATTAGCCAAGCATTTATCAACTTTGTTTGAATTCGTACAAGTTTATTAGTCAAAATATATTTAAATACTTTATTATTATTTTAACCTGGGCCAAAGCCAGCAGACAAGCAACAGGAATTACAACGGGGAATGCATATTTCGTGCAGTCAAATGTTTTATTTAATTTTTACTTAATTTCAGCACCAAAACAGAGCACCAGCACCAGCAGAGCACTATGTGATTTCAGGCGAGTTTTAGTTAGTTATTTATGAAAATATATTAAAAAAGTTTGCTTATCATGTTTGCAATCAACATGCACATTTTATTTAAACTTTATTTGCATAATTTAATCTATAGAGTTTTCATCAGTTATCTAGAGCATTTCGAGGCAACGAAATTGTTGAGTTTGCGTTGATCTGCCCAGAAATCCATTGATAATAATCACAATTTGTATAATGATAATTGTTCGTATGAAATTAAATAAACAAGAGCTTAGTTTTTTTTTTTTTTTTTTTTTTTTTTTTTTTTTTGTAATTTTTAATGTAATTTCATTTGGTAATTTTAATAAATCTAATAACAATTTGTGCTTTTTGACTTGGCTGAAAACTTCTGTTAGTTAACAGGTGAGCAGCTTACGCAGCAGTCAAATTTTTGTTGTATTAAAGTCTACACATTCAACTTCTATTACCAAAATGCAAACCTGAAACACAATAACAAAAACAACAACAACAGTTCGAAGAGCACGCGCCAAAAACTCACGTAAATTTCATTTTATACGCAGTGAAATTCGCATAACATTTCCTGTCAACATATTTTGCCACACTTTGCTGCAAAAATGAAGCGACAATGCAGCAGTAGCAGTCAGGCCATTATGCCCAGCATATACACACACACACACACACACATTGTCGCATACACACACAGAGAGAGCGACAAATTGGTCTGACAGCATCGGATGGGACATTTCTAACTATGCGACCTCAACACCAGTAACCAACACCAGCCGAGCACCCCTCGCTCTGCCACGCCCTCCCTCCCTGCCCCTGGGCAGCCCTTTTCTCGGCAAAGCGAAACGCGCTACAACAAATGAAAATTCCAAGAATATTCGCATTCGCAGTGAGTTTTGGCTTTTGCGGCTGCCAGTCGCTGTTTACTTGGCTTCCCCGGTTATTTACGGCCTGCAAATTTTTTTGCCTTCCTATTTGGTTTCTCTATAACAGTTTTTTGTTTTGCTTTCTGCTCTCTGTTCATTGTTTGGCTGGTTGCCAAAAGGGAAATATGTGTTGTGAAAATTGCACATTTTTATAGCCATCGCTAGGTGCTAAACTATGGCTATCTCTGCACGCTTCTCATTGCCACGCCCACTGCACACTGCCCACTTGCCACTCTGTCACTCCACCTACGACCTTTTTAATTGCGCCAACAACTTTTTTTCTTTATCAATTTCTGATTTGTAACCGAATTTCCATGCAGAGCATTTTGTCATAATTTGATTAAGGCTCCTCGTTTTTGGCCACGCCAGTGGCTAATTAGCCCTGTGAAGCTGCCGCGTGCATGGCTCGTTGAGCTCGATGCATAATTTATTTTCATAGCCAGCAATGCCGCACAATTGGCGAATATTTTGTAGTAAAGTCAACAGAATATCGAAGGGGGTTATGGTGGATCTGGAATACTCTCTATGTGGGAATTATACACAAATACGAGGATTTTATACCTAAGATAAACTATATAGAGTTTTGTTGAAGGGTAACGAGCGGTGGGGCATTTTATTGAGAATAGCTTAAGCGTTCAATAAATAAAAAAATATAAAATTGTAATAATTTGTTGTATTTTAAAAAATATATTTAGATATTATTTTATAAATTTTAAACAATATATTTACATGTATATAAATTATATATGCTATAGTTCCATATATATTTTTGTTCAATTTTTTATAGCATAAAATTTCATTACATGTTGAGTCTCATGAACCACAAGAAATTAATAGTAAATAAAATTAAAAAATGAAAAATGTATCAACCCCATGTGAAATGATTTCGCATCAAAGTAAAACTTAACTTGTAAAAATTGTGAAATTCGAAATTAGAAAAGCGCAAATGAAATCAAGAAATTAAACTAAAGCTGTTTACCTGCACTTTGAATGCAAAGAAATCAAATGTAAAGCCGAATACTTCGATTTATAACAACAGTGGCTGCTATTTGTAAATTGATGCAGTTAAGTGAAACTCTAACATATGCTGCCAGTGTGGAAGAACAATTTATATAAAACCCCATTGAAAGTTCATCCACATACCTGTTACAATGCACACACACACACATACAAGTAGATGCATATTTGCTACATTGCTTTGCAAAGCTTGAACTCATATTTCATAGATTATAATATCAATGGGAAGGGAGAGAGTGAGAGAGAGAGAGAGAGAGTGAGAGAGAGAGAGAGAGAGAGAGAGAGAGAGAGAGAGTGAGGGAGAGTGGTAAAGTTTTGCAGTCAGTTTCTTGAAGGTTAAGCAACACAAACAATGTGGCCTCCTGACATCTCTTGCCATTTATTAAACATGTCAGGGATAGAAGTGGGAAGCTGGAAGCTGGGAAACTGTGAGCCGGCAGCTGTAACCGGTAGCTGCAGCTCTTCAAGCAGCTTGTCGCTTGGGTGCCACCTAAGCGATTTTCAACTCTATGCAGCACTAAAAAAAGAGGGAGAAAAAAAAAAAGAAGACAAATAAGAAGAAGACAGAGACTTGCTATGCACAGAATAAAAGTAATGTGTAAAACTTTGGATGCTTTGCGTAATAAAAATAAATAGCACGCGACTCGGGCATGCATGGCACGTATTTTGCATGCACTTTGATGCCACGCCCACAGCCGCACAACAAAACGCCCACAAAATATGCATACATTGTTGGCACGTGCACGCATACAAAGGAATTTCCAAAGACATTGCGGGACATGTGTAAGGGCGGTGCACACAGGAAGAGGGAGAGAGAGAGAAGCAGAGAGAGAGAGAGAGAGAGAGACAGTTGTTGCAGCATTGCAGTCAGCCAGGGAAACTGAGACTAATTAATTGCCAAAATGCCGATTGCCGAACAGCCAGACATTGGGATTTCAGGCTGAACAATGGCTGCTCGGGTCACTTAGCAGCTTGGACGGAGCAATTAGTGTCGTGTCGGCCGGATCAGATGCTAAGTAGGCTAAAATCCTTAGCATTTTGTTGTGCATCAAAATAAACAGTCGCCGTTTCCCTAACAGCTTGAGGTTCGCGCTGAGCCGCTGAGCAGGAGCCGTTCGCTTTGAGTTCGCAGTAATTGCAAAATTTTTAATTAAATGTCAAGTGCTGGTCGCTTCTCTAAGCGCTCATAACTGCCAATGGGCACGCTTTAAGTTGTGGGCTGTGGGCCGTGGGCTGCGGGCTGACAGCTAGCTGACCAGCTGACCAGCTGACCAGCAGCTAGCTGACTTGGCTGGGAGCTTGTCCTGGGCGGCGGCGGGTGCCAGAGCGAGACCCGAGCTAAGAGCTATGTCCGGTGCGGACTTTGGTCATTTTTAACTTTCAGTGCGATTTGTACGCCTGGCTGCATTTTGTGACAATTTTTCGCTTAGTTCTAAAACTCCTCATTAGGGTATCTTGGGGTGTTCTAAACAACTTCATTGAATAACCGTATATGTAACAATTTAGTAAAATTTTTTAATAATTAATATTTAGTTCTTTATTCATTTTGAGAGTATATGCATTATAAAATTTAATTTAATTATCAAGTAAACATCAAGCGCTTATTTCTCTAATAAATTTGGATTTTTGTAAACCTAAACTATTGTTCTTTGATACTGTTTTATGTTAGAAAAGTTTTGACAAGCTTAACGAGCTTTAGAGCATACCCGCTGCTCTCTTCTTCAGTTAACTTCTTCTATGCGCTCTATTATATTTCGGCTTGCAACTATAAGGCTTAAATTTTCAGCTAAGCGCTTTGTGAGTGAAGAGTTTTAGTTTTGTTTGCTTTGAATACCCTACATATTTTGTGATGCTCAAGTGGGGTATGTACTTTATATTATTTATAAAACAAAATGAGCTACAATAATTATAAATTAAGTTTTTCTTTGTTCTCAACTATAACAA